ACAGCCTTGGCACACTGATTACTGTGCTGGATACAAATGCCTTTCTAAAAATAACTGAGAAGTGGGGGAAGGAGCCTGTCCCCACACTCAGCATTTCAAAACCACCTTCTCCTCTTGCCATAGCCAAGCATTGCTTCACCCATGGGTCCCCTGCTCTGATATTTGATTTTTATTTTATATATATATGTATATATATATATACATACACTTATATATGCATGTATATATATATGTATATATATATGTATGTATATGAGAGAATATTGACAGTTTGGTGCTGTCTCTTCTGCCACGAACATCCTGGCTGGCCACATTCACACCCCATCCCCTCAGTTCCTCTCTAGGTTTTCTTCCAGGCTGTCCCACCCTGTAAGATTTGGATGGAGGAGGGACTTCTGGAACCCCACATCCACCACCACTGGACTCCCAGGCACAGAGAGAGATCTCCACACTCAGGAAGGAGGACAGAGCCACTCACTCAGACTCTGTCAGGATGGGAATAAAGACCTTGTCTGTCTCCAGTCCTTCTCTCCTACAGTAGGTCTATTATTTGTGTTTTTAAAGGAGGTCTATTTGCTTTCAATTCAACTGCAGCCCGCCCAAAATAATGATCACTCTGATTCTGGCAGGAAGATTGTTGATCCAACTATTTTAAGAGCTTATTTTCCTGTAGAAGTCTCTGAGGGAGCATCTAAGCACTTAATGGCCACGGTCACTTCTTAGAAACCCACTGAGGGCACCGCTGTGTCTCCATCCTGGCACACAACCCCATCATCCCACCTATGCCAGAAGGACTTGGGGAAGTGGAAAAGAATTCTCACCTTCTTGAGTTTATTTTTTCAGCACCTACCTGTATGTATAGCTGAGCTTTCCGTGCAGGGCACGTATAATTTGAGCAGAACACAGTACGCTGGATTTTGCCTTCAGCTACACTCTCTGAAGCCAAGATTTGCTCCAAGCTAGAGAGGGAGTGCCAAGCTACCAGCACACCACAGCTATGAGCAAGGTACTTTGTAAATACTCTCTGTAAATATTCTGTATTTCCCCTCCGAATCAGCAGATTCCCATCATTGCTAAGGCATTTTGAAGGGTATTGCCATGGCAAGGCCAGACTTTGGCACAGCGTGTTTTGGGTTGCAGTTTGTGCTCTCAAATAACTTCGTGTCCCTGGCTGCTCTTTCCGCCTCTTGCTATTTTCCTGGGACAGAAATCTTGAGGTTGGAGCATTTCCCACTGGCAGAGATCCACCAGTTTCCACTGAATTACGTAGGAGAGAGCTTAGGAAGAGCTCCTAAGATCTTCCCAAAGATGCTCAGTGCTTCCCTGGGAGCAGCTCTGGTAGGATGCTGAGGCAGGATACGTGTCCCAGCACCCTGTGGACTCCGTGCTTAGCAGCATAAGGAGCCAGACAGCCTGCCTGAATTCCCTCTGCTAAGGCGATGCAGGAACTCCCCTGGCACCTCACTACCTCCCTAAATACAGGCTTTTAATAAAGAGCCAATTTAATTTCCCAAACACTGAGTCATCTTGTGTTATTACCTGGCATATGGTACCCAGAACAGCGCCCCCGGCTCCTTTCCTTTAAAGAAGGATGTTTTTTTTCCCTCCTCCTTCCCTGCTTTTTCGACTTTCTCTTTTTTTTTTTTTTTTTTTTTTTTTTTTTTTTCTATTTTAAACAGAAATCCTCTCCTATCCCAACTTCCATCCTTTCTGAGCTGTGACGGGATTAAGCCAGAAGCAGGGATGACAGGAAGAGGCTGGGATGTGCAGGTCGGAGGGGCTGAGGGACCAAGCAGAGGGGAGCAGGGTTGCACCTGCCTGGGAATGGGACTAGCAGCTCTGCTTTGCTCTTTGGACCTGGAGCTGTGCCAGCTCCTGGAGAAAAATCCCCAGGTACCGGAAAGCTGCCCTTTCTTCCTGTTGGGACACGTTAATAATGAACACCAAGAGCAGCATGGCTGTGGAGCTTCAAACCCACACAGAGGGTGGGAGCACTGGATGAGGTGACAGAGATGGTACCTTTTCCCAAGTCCTGGAATGATGCTGCCCAGCACCCATCTCTGGGCTTACCTTTAGTCACCCTAGTGTTATCCCTGTCCAAATTCCCCCCACACCCACTAGAGGAATGAATCCGACTCCCTCCCACACTCCCACAGACACTGTGCTCTGAGGGATGGGTCGTTTCCCAAAAATCTCAGGCTGGAAGTTGTATGCCCTGGTCCAGTATCCATCTGGGTGAACCAGAGCCCCCCGTCCTGCCACCCTCCTGCTTCCAGCAAGGATGCAGGTGAGTGCCTGGTGGAATCCTGTGATGTCTCCAGGATGCCTTGAGCAGGTTGGGGCAGGAGGGAAATGCACAGAGAGGTCCCACCATGCGGGGCCAGGATTTGCTGTGCCCACCCAGGAGCTGGATGTACACGTGTCATCCTGTTCACACGATTAATATTAGGAGCTGGTATTCTCCAAAGAGGGTGAGTTGCTCTAAATAACTATCTGAGATGAATTTTTATTGGGTTAAAGTTGATGATTCCAGACGCACTGGAATTCCAAAAAAATTATCATTAATATGAGAGCAGATCCAACCCTTTTTTTCCCCCCCAGTCCCACCTCCATGCACCAGGAGCATCCCTGTGAAAGCCTGGGCCTGGGGGCTCTCGGATTAGGGGCTTGGAGGCTAGATGTGGGGAAGCTGTGTGAGGAGATGAGCTGAGAAAAAGGGATGTGGGCAGAGCTGTTGTCTGCCCCCATGAGCTCTGCACAGCAGCTCAGCCGTCACTGGAGTGATACTATTGGCACTCAGATTAATAATTAAACCATAGCATGTTCATAGATAAAAATATGAAAAGCCAGGCAGTTCCCCTTTGCTTAAAATACAACAAAAATAATAATAAAAAAAAAAATTCTGGAGCTAAATTAACAATGTGCTCTCCCAATTACAGCCACCCTCCAGTGAATATCAGGTTGCCATGACAACCTGCCCAGCAAAACGATACGGCCCAAAATAAAGCACAGCAGGGAGAGAGATCTTTGGAATCCGATTTTGCTGTCAAAGTAGAATTAAGGTTTCTTCAGAGGCCAACGATTCTGGTGAATTTATGGCTGCGGTCTTTCCGTTGATGTTCATTAACGTGATCCATTTATCCGGACGAGTGTGACAGCACAGCTAGACAGGGAGCAACAAAGAATCCATGGCTCGAAATTGAGTTAACCTCTTGAATACAACCCATGCAACAAGAAAAGGGGAATGATTGCCGGGTGGGTGTTTTTGGGAACCTGATGTGGGAAGGAGAATGTGGTTTCAGTTGCTTGTAGGAACATCTCTTGGTGGTTTTGAGCAGGTCTGAAGGGGCTGGCTAGAGGGGTGTTTAAAATGTGTTTAAATTCTGGGTTTTACATTTCTTGTCTCAGAATTTTCTGTGTTTATATAGAAAAACTTGGTTTATCTGCCATGCACAGGGACCCTGAGAAACCTGAGAGGTGGGCCCATGCAAACCTCATGAAATTGAACAAGGCCAAAAGCAAGGTCCTGCATGTTGGTCATAGTAACTCCAAGCACAAATACAGACTGGGTGGAGAATGGATTGAGAGCAGCCCTGGGGAGAAGGACTTGGGGATGTTGGTGGGTGACAAGCTCCACATGCCTTGGACACGTGTGCTGGTACCCAGAACCCCCCATGTCCTGGGGGGTTCTGGGCAGCAGAGGAGGGGGGGATTCTGCTCCTCTGACCCCTCAGGTGAGACCCCCATCTGCAGAGCTGCCTCCAGCCCTGGGGAACAACAGCACAGGGATGAGGAGCTGCTGGAGCAAGTCCAGAGGAGGCCACGGAGATGCTCCGAGGGCTGGAGCCCCTCTACTCTGGAGCCAGGCTGGGAAAGCTGGGGGTGTTCACCTGGAAAAAAGAAGGCTCCAGGGAGACCTGAGAGCCCCTTCCAACACCTAAAGGGGCTCCAGGAGAGCTGGAGGGACAAGTGCCTGGAGGACAATGGGGAATGGCTTAAAACTAGCAGAGAGCAGGATTAGAGGGAGGTGGATCAAACTGATCTTTAAGGTCCCTTCCAACCCAATCATTCAGTGATTCAATGAAACACTTGCAGTTTCTTTCCTTTAAGCCCAGTTTAGAGCCCCCTCCTTAAAGCCCAGCTGGATGCTGCTTGGCTGTGAGGAGGTAGGATGGGAGAGGATGCGGCTCTGAGCTGAATCCCGAATAGGGGCAGGGACATGAGAATGCCAGAGTTGTCCCTGAGTGCTGTGTATCGGATGGGTTAGTCCCACCCCGAACGCTGCTCTCAGCTCTGGCTGGTCTCTCACCCGCACTGACGGGTTGGGGGCTCGGTGACTGGGGGTGCCGGGGTGTGGGGACCTGGGGTGTCTCTGTCAGATCCTCAGGGTGTGGGATCCGGGGGGTCCTTCTCAGAGCCCCGGGGTGCAAGATGTGGGGGGGGGTCCCCCCCTCTGATCCCCAGAGTGCGGCATCTGGAGGGGGTCTGTCAGACCTGCATGGGTGAGGGGTCTGGGGGGCGTCCCTCTCTGATGCCCAGGGTGCGGGATGTGGGGGGCTCCCTGCCGGAGCCGTGGGATGCGGGGATGTGGGGAGTCCCTCTCAGACCCCCGCGCGTGCAGGGATGCGGTGTCTCCCTCTCAGCGCCCGGAGGTGCGGGATGCGGGGCGCCCCTCTCAGATCCCCGGAGGGTGCGGGGTGCGGGATCCGGAGCGGGGCGGGGTGTCCTTGTCATAGCCCGGAGGGCGGGATGCAAGGGTGCAGGATGTTGGGGGGGGGGGTGTCCCCCTAAGACCCCCGTGCGTGCAGAGATGCGGTGTACCCCGCCCGGAGCCCCGCGGGGCGGCCAGGCCGGGCCGGTCCCGCACTACATCTCCCGGCAGGGCCGGCGGCGGGCGGGGCTCGGCGCGTCACTCCCCGCCGCCCCGGCCCGTCCCTCCGCCGAGCCCGGAGCCGGAGCTGGTGCGTCCTGCCGGGCGGTGCCCCCGCCGTCCCCCCGCCGTCCCCCCGCACCCGGCGCGGTGCCCATGACCGCCCCGTCGGGGCACTGACCGCGCCCGGCCCCGCACGGTAAGCCCGGCCCGGGGGGGACGTGACACAGCAGCGCCGAGGGGGGGAGTAAGGTTCGAGAGGAGGTGGTGGTGTTGGGAGGGGGGGGCGCATCCCGGCTTTTGTCTCCCGTGGAAACACCCGAACCCCGCGGGGAGGAGGGTCGCGCTGCGGATGGAGCCGGTTTCGGGGCAGGTCTCGGTGGTGGCGGTGCCCGGGCGGCCTCGTCCCCGGGGGGGTCCCGCCCTGCTCGGTGACAGCCCGTGCGCGGACGTGGAGCCCCCCCCGACATGTGCCCCTTCCAGCGGGAGCGGCCGCGGAGAGCTCCGGGGCTGCGCTCGGCTGTGCTCCCGGCCTCTGGAAGCTTCCCGGCCGCTCCGTCAGGCTGGCGAAGGGCAGGACTGGCCTCCCCCCTCCCGCCGCGGCGAGCCCCCCGTGGACAAAAAGAGAGGGACCCCATCGCGTCCCCATCGCAGTGAAGCGTCGCCCATCGCGGTCCCCGCCGCGGCAGAGCCGGCGGCGGATCCCGCACAGCAACATCCGCAGGCACAAAGGTGCCACCTGAGCGCCTTGGGGGGAGGGACACATTCCCGGTAGGATGCCCGCTGCGGGGGGGTCCGGGGATGGGAGCAGTCTCCCACCTCCCAGGAGGTGCTTTGCCCATCCTTGGCGTCGGGCTGAGTTTGGGTGCAGTGAGCGAGGGCTCACTGGGGACCCTGTTTTGTTGTTATTTTATGGTTATCGTTTTCCTGCAGAGTCACTCTGGCTGCACGTGGTCTCGGGGGCCGTGGGTGACAGTAGGGGACAACAGATGCTGTGGCAGTGGGGCAGCCGGCGGTCCTGGGATGCTTTTTGCTGCAGCTGCCCCCAGCAATGCTAAAGGGCTGGAGGCACAGTTGCTGTGTTTCACAGGAGTCCCAGTGCCTCAAATCTCAGTCCCTGGAGTTGTTTTTCTGTAGAATGAGACTGAGGTTCTCATCTCCTGGGGCTGTTCCTTGTGTCAGGCTCCTCTGGAAGGGGTGAGACCCCCACCAGTGAGACCCCCACGTGGTATGAGGCAGTAATGCCATCAGTTTGGAAAGTGGCAGGTGCTGTTTCCCAGCATGATGAGGAGGGCTGGAGTGCCACAGGACCTGGTTGCTCCTTTCAAATAGGCCATTTCCACATGTCCATATGTGCCACCTTCATTCCCGCTCCAGTAGTCCACGCTGCTCTCTCTCCACCACTCAGGCAGGTTATGGGATGAAGCTTGAAATCACGGCCTTGTTAACAGAAATTAAAGAGGTGGAAGGAAGCAGAGGATATACTGAGCTTGAAGGTTGTTTCTTTCAATGCAAAGATGCCAAAATAAGACCAGGGGATTTAACACTCCCTCCTCTCCAAAATCTAGGAAGGCTTTTTGATGATGGAGCATCCTCTGAGCATCCAGATGCTGACAGGAGGGTGCTGCATGGGATGGAGAGGGAAACATTCTGCTCTGCTTATGGCTTATGTGACACTGGCAAGCAAATATTCACACTTTGTCTCCAGTGAGTGGGAAAATCCATTTCATATTGTCCATCCACATTATTTTTCCCCATGAGGACCATAAAGGCTTTGCTCTGCCATTGCTGAACCCAAGATCCGAAAGCAAAATCTTGTGCTGCATCTTATTCCCTGAAGCCTTGGGTAAGATTTGCAGGCTGTGGTTTCCCTGTGTTAAGTGTGTTAACTTTGGCAGAGAGACAGTGTCTGTTTTGGGAAGCTCAGGCTGTGCATTTCTTTTTATCATTTATAAGATCTCATGTTGCTTTCAAGGCAGAGGAGCAGCAGTTGGATGCTGCAGGTGAAGGTGATGTGAGGAAGAGACTTGTCTCAGGTGAGCTGGAGGGTAAAGCCCAACACCCAGGAGCTCTCCAGCTGATGGGAGACTGTAGAAACTGCTTGTGGAGATGAACTGCCCTTGCCATGGGATTTGGGAGAGGAGTGAGCTACCTGCGTGGCTTGGCTGGGTTTGGCACATTCATTCCCATAGCTGAGTCGACCTCATCCACAAATGGGATGGGAGTGGTCTATGAAGGGTTCCTGAGAGCCATGAAAAACAGTATGCAAAGCATGAAAACATACTTGATAGCTGTTAGTCCTCAATCCAAAATGTGGAAGGGAGAATGACGAGGTGCTGAGCTTTATCTCCAGAAGTCTCTCCTTCATCACTTGATCTTTCATGAGAATAATACCATTTTTTCTCTCTCAGAGTACCCTCACTGTGGGGTGAACTGCTGCGTTGAGTTCGCTCTATTGTGGTCTCCTGGTGAGGACAAATTTTGCTGTGCTGACTCTCCTCTCCTTTATCATTTTGTGTGTCTCTCTCCTGTTTCTCCTTGCAGCCATCCTTGCTGCTGCTGGGAAGCAACGGAGTGAAATTGTGGTAGTTATCACTGGTTGAATTTTTTGCCTGCAGGTCTGTACAAAGCAGCAAGAAAACCCTCCTGGACTGTATTTAATTTCATGTTCTTGCTGCTCAAGTGAGTCTTTGGGGTCCTGTGTATTTGTGAGGAGCTATAGCTAAAAGTATAGCAAGACCCTGTGGTTTCTATGGAAGCTGGGGCAGCAGATGAGCTTTTTCAGGAGCTGTTTGGGACACATTTAACTTTCTGCCTGTCTATTTTGATAGAGCCATTAAATATTGTTAGTGATTTCATTGTTCTTCAGTTTGGCAGAAGTGTTAAGACATTTATGTTACACTGTTGTTAAGTTTCAGAGTTAACAGTTTGATGCCCTGTTTGGGGTAGCTCTTGGTCTCCATCATGCTGGGGAAAGAACAACTAAAATCTTGGAAGTGTTGAGGCTTCTGGACAAATAATTTCCGTAAATGCCTTAGGTTGTTGTTGTGAAACTCCTGAGAGAAGGGGCAGTTCTGCTACCTGAGTATAATTACCAGATTACTGAGTCATATGAAATGAAGAGCTACTGTAGCTAGCCAATCATTTTATGTTTGTTTGAGACCCTGGCTATTTTATTTCATTTATTTATATACATATGTGTGCATGTATTTATATATATATTCATTTACAACACAGATTTCTTGCTGGTGATCCTAAGAGAAATAAGTCCCCTGCTCAGTTCAGACTGAAATGGAAACAACGATGCAGGTTCTTAAAACTTTTGTGCATTAAAACATCAACTTTGCTGCTGAAAAGAGAGGATTTGTTTCTTTCACATCTTCCTTGGGGTGTGCCAGGGTTGCTCTTGGCTTGCTGGATTCTGCATTGTCATTGTCTTCTGCAATGTAGAGGTACCTCAACAGTGGCCAGAAATCGGAATGGTGTCTCTAACATGGATGGATTAAGGAAAATTTATTATGGCAAATAGTGGATTTGAGATCTTTGCTGGTTTGGGTTAGCTTTTGGAGACTCCTTTGAGGCAGTCCATGGACCTCTGAGGCTTTAGGCACCACAGGTTGGCTATGAGTAGTCTTGTGCTTACTTCAGGTAGGCGACTGCTCCCACCTCCTCTCCTACAGAGACAACCCTTGGCCTCCCCATCCCCTGGGCATGTAGCAGTTGTGGTCCAGGAGGAGAAGAACCTGGTTTCTTAGGTGGTAGGAGGACCTGTGGTGACAGCCCCTGGTGGCACAACTAAACTTCTGCCTCAGCTATCTCTGCAGGACCAAATCCTGCCACACCTGTCAGCCAGGAAGCTACTATGGGTGTATTTCATAATGTGCAGATGCTTATGGAGGGCGTCTCCTCCGTGGCAGACCAGCACTGGCTCAGCTTCATCTTCTTCCCCAGAATTGCTGCGTCCATTTGGGGTGGTGGAAGCCATCTGCATTTCCAGCAGGATGGAAAGGGTTGGGGTAATATGACCATGGGGGGATGGGGATCAGGGATGAGTGGCTGTGTGTGGTGTGCCCCATCTCCTGGTGTCACATCATGCCTCGGTGACACGAGGATGCGCGGAGGTGCCCACAAGCTTCTTATTTCTCACCAGTGCTTTTAATTGGTGGGTTGGGTTTGCGTGGCCAGGTTTTGGTAGCAGTGGGGCTACAGGGGTGGCTTCTGTGAGAAGCTATCAGAAACTTCCCCTATGTCCAACAGAATCAGTTCCAGCCACTGGCCAAAGCTGAGCCCATCAGAGGTGGCAGTGATGCCTTGGGGATAATGTGTTGAAGGAGGAAAAAAGTTGTAGTGTAGGTGTAAGTGTGGCCAGAGAAGAGTAGAGTGAGAATATGGGAGAGACACAGCTCTGCAGATGCCCAGGGCAGTGCAGAAGGAGAGGCAGGGGGTGCTCCAGGCACTGGAGCTGAGGTTCCCCTGCAACTCGTGGTGCAGCCCATGGTGAGGCAGCTGTGCCCCTGCAGCACATGGAGGGCCACTGGAGTGCAGAGTTCCACCTGGAGGAGCCCACACTGGAGCAGGGGGATGCCTGAGAGAGGCTGTGACCCCCCTGTGCTGGAGCAGGGTTCTGGCAGGATGTGTGATGGAGAGAGGAGCAGGTTTCCTGGAAGGACCTGTGACCCAGTGGGGGACTCAGGCTGGAGCCCTGCTTGAAGGATTGACCCCATGGAAGAGTTGCCCACATTGTAACAGTTCATGGATAACTGTTGCCTGTGGGAAGGACTCACATCAGAGAAGTTCATAGTGAACCTCTCCCGTGGGAAGGACCCTGGGCTGGAGCAGGGGAAGGAGTCCAACTCCTCTCCCTGAGCAGTGTCAGGAACAACATGTGATGAACTGACTGTATCCCCCTGTCCCATCTCCCTGTGCCACTATGGGGGAGGAGACAGAGCTTGGGAAGAAGGGAGGGGTGTGGGGAAAGTGTTTTTAAGATTTATTTTACTCCTCATTATCCTGCTCTGATTTTGTTGTTAATAAATTCAGTTGATATCCCCAAGTTCAGCCTATTTAGCCCGTGGCAGTGATTGGTGAGTGATCTCTCCCTCTCCTTATCTCAACCCATGAACCTTTTGCTATGTTTTCTCTCTGCTGTCCAGTTACAGGGGGCAGTGACAAGAGCAGCTTTGGTGGGCACCTGGCATC